GCGATGTGCCTAGATCTGTATGGTGTTGAAGATACCATGGCGACGATAATGGCGTGCTGAATCTGGTTAACCTATTGGAGGACTTGATAAGATGAGATGGCGCCGGCGGTGATAGCGAGGGACCGTCGGATCGTTATCAGCCGGCGGCATCCCGACGGCATCCCGCAGGCTTACCGTCGGGATGCCGTGGGGTTGATCTTTTCGCAATATCACGCCAATATTTATCTGAAGATATCATTTTGCAAAGAAAGAACTGTCTACAAGTACGAGGCAAGTCCAGAGTGTTGATATTGCCTTCATATCGAATAAGTCATCGAGCAAGACAATCTCTTAGCAGGTCTTGAAAACTATCACCAAACAAGACCCGAACTCCAACAATCACCACCAACAAAGTATCAGAAGATTAAGCCTTTGCCATGGAACAAAACACACTAAAAAGACGTGGCGTCGGTCTCACAGGTGTCGACAAGGATAAGTCCTTCGGCGGCTACACCCTTTTCTGCCCCCTGACCAGCGACACAGCTCACCTGGTTGACATTGACGGCAAAGAAGTCCACTCATGGAAACTCCCCGGCAGAATCGGCCGTCATGCTAGAATTCTCCCCAATGGCAATCTTGCCGTCAACACGCTTCGAACAACTGAGCTCACCACCAAAGATGGAGGTCCCTTTCCTTTTCCCTTCTTTAACAAATATGGTGGTGGTGTGATGAGTGAGCTTGATCCTGATGGCAAAGTGGTTCGTCAATTTAAGGATGATTTGGGTCATCATGACCAGTATCACTACGGTGATGGCCGCTTTTTGTATACCGGACTTGAGGCTCTGTCTCCTGAGGACTCAGCGAAAGTGATCGGCGGTGTCCCTGGGACCGAGATCGATGGCATCACTTACGCCGACACCATCAATGAAGTTGACGAGAAGGGCAATCTCGTCTGGCAATGGAAGGTCTCAGAGCGTCTCCCACGAGATGAATACCCTCTTCAAGCTCACTACACAAGAGAGCACTACCCACTCATCAACTCCGTCATCCCCATGCGCGATGGCAAACATATCCTCGCATCTCTCCGATCAGTATCAGCCGTCATAATCATCGAGAGATCTACCGGCAACATCGTCTGGAAGCTCGGCCCAGAAGTTCTTGCTCAACAACACAACGCCACCGAACTAGACAACGGCAACATTCTCATCTTTGACAATGGAGCTTTCCGGAACGGCGAATCTATCACTTATACCCGTGCGATCGAGGTTGATAGAAAAACGAAGAACATCGTCTGGGAGTATAGGGATCGCTCGCAGATGCACAACTTCTTCACTCCGTTTATGGGCAGTGCGCAAAGATTAGCGAACGGAAATACGCTACTGTGCGAGAGTGCTTTTGGAAGATTGTTTGAGGTTACTAAAGATGGATATGTTTGCTGGGAGTTTATCAACCCGCATTTTGCGCCGTATCCCGATCAAGCTACTGCGAAGATATTCCCTGGAGAGTCGAATGCGCTGTTTAGGGCGTATAGGTATTCTTTGGAGGAGATTCCTTGGTTGAAGAAGAAGTTGGGAGGAACTGTTGCAGAAGGGCAGTCTTCGGGAATGCTGGGGAGTATATGTAAACAGCAATAACTGGGAAGGATGACAGAGTAGGGAAGGTCCTAGTACACTACTGCAGCCAAGTCTTCCATTCAAAACATAGATGGCCCTGCTAAAGTATGTATACAAGAAACGTACGACTTGATTTCTTTTTCGTCACCTGTCAGAAGCCGAGACGTGAAGTTGAACTGCAAATTTCTCACATTTGCTGCTGACAATATCCAAGCTCCCCTGAGAACAGAAGCATTGTCAGGCTGAGGGCAGCTGAGCCACTAATCTGTGACTAAATAATCGTAAGGATAGAGGGCCACGCCAAGATATATGTGGCATCAATCTGCAGGGTTGAACTGCCGGTTCGCTCGGACCATAACAGATCCCAGTGCATGAATGCCATTGTATTACTGTCCACCAATTGCACAGCTGTATGTATGGACTTTCGTCAGCCATTTGTTTGCATTTAAGTATTTGTTCTCCTCCCACGCCAAAACCCCCATTGTCTTTTCTGGATCTCAAAGCATACATAACCGGACTTAACAGTGAAAGAGATCTCTGGTGCTTCAATGAGTGACTACGAAATAGTTTATACAATATTAACCATCGGCTGTAGGTAGTAGTGCCCTGCATCGGATCGGATCTGGGGGGCAGTCACTTTGTGGGGTTCCGATGATTGTGGGGTTGACCCGTCCATCACCCCACCACACACTTCACCTCGGTTGAGCCGAGAACATTGACACACCCTCTTTGTCACTGATGTTAGACAAAGGAACTACATATTGCAAACTGAATCTCCCGCTATCTACTTCTCATGTTACGTACTCTTCTCCGTTAATGGTTTGCTGAGATTCAAAACCACTCAACAGTCTTGGGGAAAAGAGCAACAGGCACAATTCCATAGTCACCGTGTGGACTGCTATGCCTTGTGCCATTAGCAAGAAAGGTACAATATATATTACATAAAACAAGGGAAGCACAAATCAAGATCCTGTAGTTAAGCCCACGATGGTCATGCCCATCGCAGTGCCCTGTGTACAGACTGTAGTTCCGCCCAGCCCACTACCAGGTTCTCCAGAAAGGGCTGCGTCTAGTCGAATCTAAATCATAAACAAATCTGCTTTAATAGGTTCGCTTCCTTTAGCGTACCTTGGGGAATTCCAACCCCGCAATCTGGGTCGCCCGTAAATCCCGTTGCAACGACTTAAATTTTATTCGTCCCCAGATGTCTCGACTTCCCTTGTACTCTCTACCTCTCCTTACCACACCCACGTGAACGATGCCTTCTCGTAAACTCAAAGACAGCGAGCGCCGTAGATGCGCCAATGCCTGTTATACTTGCAAGCGTCGCAAAGAGCGCTGTGATGGCCGTCAGCCGTGTGGCCGCTGCATCACCCGCGGGGTGGATTCCGAATGCAGTTTTACCCCTTCTCCGACAACAAAGCGTAGAGTTCGGAGCGCCCGACCTCCTGCGTCTGGTGCAGACAACTTGCAGGGCTCTATATCGCCAAGCGTCTCCTCCTCTATCGAAGTCTTTGGCCAGACTCCACCTCAGCTTAGCAACCAGGCGGGACATGATTCACACAAAGACCATACAGAGCGTCCGCAGCTCTCTACGCTCATACAAGACGGCCACGGGAAATTCGTCTTCATTGGTGACGCAGCCAATCTGTCCTTCCTACAGATTATCCGACGTCTAGTACGCGATTCGCTTGGTCCTTGTGCATTCACGGAAGATGCTCTGCAACATCTTATGGTTGAGGCCAAGCCGTCGGATAGCTCCACGTGGTTCGTAAACATTATGGATGATACCCCAGCAATGCCCGAAGAGGAAGAGGCTCGATATCTGGTCTCCTGGTTCTTCCGCTCAACCAGTTGCGTACTCAACCTCTTCGAAGAGCGAGACATCACCGAGTCAATGGCGTCTTGGTATCAGAGGTGCTCTTATGGGCCAGAGGATAAAGCTTCAGTGGCAGTCTTCTTTCTCATATTTGCAATTGGCGCCCAGACATGTCCCGAGAATAGGGACCAGGATGCAGAACAGTATTTTAATTATGGACGCTTCCTCACCGCATCCATTATCATGGACGACATCAGTATCTCAGCTGTTCAGTCCAACATTCTTATTACTATGTACCTACTTGGCGCATCACGGCGGAACGCCGCATTCATGTATCTCGGCAGTGCTGTCCGCGCGGCATATGCTCTCGGAATTCAGCGTCACGATGTCAACAAGCATTTCAAGCAGTCCGAATATCTTCTGCGAGAAAGATTGTGGAAGGTTCTCCGAGTTCTGGATCTCTTCATGAGTGCATCCCTCGGTCGTCCGCCATCCACACACGAAACTCGGAATACGGGTACCGATGAGAATTACTCGGCTTCCAACGATCTCTGCGCTATCTTTGAAGATATTCTTACCAACATCTACTCCCCGCAAAAAGTCTCAAACACGCATTTGGAGCGAATAAGTGAACACCATCGGCAATGGGCGAATAAGTTTCCTCTAGGTCTGGCTACCGATAGTATCAAACCATCGAAATTCATTGACGAGGCGAATGGGAAAGAAACGCCAAATATCGGTCTATGCCACCTCAAGGAGGCATATTATTGGACAATAATGCTTCTTGCTCGACCATCCTTGACGAAAAGCGCTTCTAAACACATGCACAAAGCCAGCCAAGACATGAGTCAGTGGGAACCTCCTACTGCTGCAACTGAGCCCGACCAAGTCCTCGCCTTTTCCTGTGTCGACTCTGCAGTTAGGACAGTTGATCTCTTGAAAGTAATGGGCGATAACCGAGAAATCCCAAAGCGTCTCCCGTTTGTCGTGAACTCATTATTCGTTGCAGCGTTGGTGCTCGGAACGGCCTACTTCAATGACTTGGATCATATCTTCCCTCTTGAAAAAAGCATGACCGGCGTACGATCCTTGATGGCCAGGTTCAGTACCCATGATCCCGTCGCCAAGGGTGCCCTGCAAACTATCGACAACCTGCAAACTGTTTGCAACATATACGTCGATGAGCGAGCACGTCGGAAGATGGAGAGACAGAGCCTCCTTGTGCGAAGCCTCTTTGGTACCGTCCACGACGGATCTAGGCCGCAGACTCCGAATCAACACGACAAAGCAAAGGCATCATCTATCAGCGATTTTAGCTACAGTGAGGCAATTCTTGATACGTGGTCCTTTGACGATTCTGTTGGACACATGGATGGGGAGCTGATGGGAATGCTGCCGCATGAAGCGCTAGAGGCATTTTCACTTCCCACGCCTACGACAATTAATTTCGACTCTTTTGATGTTAGCTTTCCTTTGTTCTCAACTGTAGATGTATGTAGTCTTGAGGTTGAAGGAAATATGGGGACAAGTAATTTGGCGTTTGGACTGTGATATATGTAATCAGACGGTCTTCTATCTAAGTCGATGAATTAAATGTGCTCTACATATGGTTGACATGTCAGAAGGGGTGCCAGGCAACTGTGAGATATTTATGTATACATTACACGCATGCTAAACTAATTACTACCTTTGATGGCCCAGTTGATCCCGCTTATTAACTGGTTCAAGAATACCTCTGTCTCAGGTAAAGACGGGACTAACCAGAAACAGTGAGGCATATCACCATAATGGCCGGTCTTGGTAGGCACGCCAGCCGAGGAGAGGCTATCATAAAGGACTCTCCCATCGTCCCGCAGTGGATCCTTTCCGCATGTTGCGACATATGTGTTAGGGAACGCTTTCAGACATCTATCATCCAGTATTGGAAAATAGCTCTTATCGTCGGGATCAATACCCGAGTTGTCAAACATCTGCAGAAGTGATTCCTCATCGACTATGGGCACGTTGTCTTTGTTCTCCTTGTAGGACGAGTGTTTTCCCTGGAACTCTGTTGGGATGTTTCGTGGGTGGAATGCTACTGGACATAGTGCAACGACTCCAGTGATAGCATCAGTGGGAAGATTAGTTTGACCGAGGACTACCTTTCGAGCAACTGCAAGGGCAAGACAGCCGCCAGCTGATGTGCCGATGGTAAACATATTAGAGGGATTGCCGCCAATACTATCGGCGTTGTTGAAAGCCTATTGAATCAGAACTGTCAGCAAGGGGTCTTGGTGAACGTAGCAGTAGGCTGGGATACTGATGTCCGACTTACCCATTCGTAAAGAGCCACAGCGTCCTCCAAATGCGCCGGAGCCTTGTGTTCAGGAGATAAACGATAATCAACGTTCACAACAACCACGTTGGCCTTGAGCGCGATATATCGACAGAAACCATCCTCAGAGTCAAGGTTCCCTAAAACAAAACCGCCAGAGTGATAGAAAACACCAATGGGCAATTTCTTGGCTTCAGAGTTGAGAGGCGCGTAGGTCCGATATGCCACGCCACTTACTTCTCCATTACTGACACGCAACTTATTTTCTGGAAAAGGAGGGGCTTGGGATGCAAGGAGGGCGCCGAGGCCGCTGAATTGCTCTCTCATTGCTTCCGCGGAGCCCTTTAGGACGGGGCGGACGCCACCCAGAGACTCTTCAAACTGTGCGATTTAGTGCGTTTAACAGATTGGATATATTGAGAGCTTACCTTGAGCCAGGAGTCAGCGTAAGAAGACATGATTTTGTATTTAGTTTTGTTGATTCTTATCAATTGGATGTGGTTTCTGCACAGAAGACAGCTTTGGATTGGAGCAGTCGGGACGGCGCACTATCCCCTCTTATGAGCAATCAGACGACGGCAACACTGATGGAAGAAGCCTTTTTTATTAACTCTTCGGATAACATTATTTATTAATTTGAGAAGTGAAAATCGGCTTCTTCCTATTTCTTCGGAAGTTTGCCAAGTGTTCCGCGGAACAGAACCTTAAGGAGGTTCTTCGGATATAAAGCCCAGATACCGATGGCCAACACCACATCCGAGCCGAAGAACGATAAATCATGGGATCTCTTAGTCGGATATGTTTATGCCCAGTTTGATTAGAATTGGAAGTTAGCTCTGGCGTACTTGGTATTTATGGCGACCGAAGCTTAGACTGCCTTGTCTGGTGTTGTTCCGATGCGCCCGGAGACTCGTGGTTCTGATACTTCCGAAAACTGACAACGGAAGTGAACCTAAGCGACCAGAATCGTTTATATATATATTCAATTGACGTGTATTCTAAGAAAATTGATAAATCAGTGTTTCACTTAAATATCGACAATCGACCAAGGCTTGACTTATACGAAACATTTTGATCCCATCGTTAGTCGAGGGTCATTCTTTAATCAGCCCACCTCAGCTCCATTGCATAGAAAAGGCTTCATCATGACCGTCAAGACAACAGTTTTAGATGCACTCATCGTCGGCGGCGGGTTCGGTGGTGTCTACCAACTCAAGCGCCTTCGCGAAGAGGGCTACAATGTCAAACTCGTCGACATGGCCTCTGACTACGCAGGCGTATGGTTCTGGAACCGCTACCCAGGTGCCCGAGTTGACAGTGCTATACCGCACTACGAATTCTCTGACCCTGAGCTATGGCGCGACTGGAACTGGACGCAGCGTTTCCCCGGCAGCGCTGAATTGAGAGAGTACTTCTCTTACGTAGCTGAGAAGTGGGATCTTCGCAAGGATACATTCTTCAACACGTATATCTCCAAGGCTGTCTGGAACGAAGACGCAAACAGATGGGAGATTGAGAGTAAGGATGGCAAGAAATTCGTCGCGCGATACTTGCTCTTGAACACTGGCTTCGCGGCCAAGCGTCATACACCTGACTGGAAGGGTATCGACAAGTTTAACGGTCTCTGGATCCATCCTTCATACTGGCCTGAAAAAGAACCTGATCTGAAGGGCAAGAAGATCGCTGTCATCGGAACCGGCTCAACCGGCGTACAGCTTGCACAAGAGCTTAGCCAGGTCGCAAGCGAGTTCGTGTTGTTCCAACGAACGCCCAACATGGCACTCCCCATGAAGCAGATCGAATACTCTCGCGACGACAAGTCTGTTTCCGAAGAGCGTTATAATGAGGTGTTCAATGGTCGACATGCTAGCTTTGGTGGATTCGACTTTAACTTTCTCCCCCGCGAGACTTTCAGCGATGATCCCAAGACGCGTCAGGCAGTGTATGAAGAACTATGGTCCCACGGTGATTTCAAGTTTTGGCTTGCGAACTACCAAGACATGATCTTTCGAGAGGACTCGAATGCCGAGGCCTACAAGTTCTGGAAATCCAAGGTCCGATCTCGCGTCAAGGATCCCCGTCATCAAGAGATCTTAGCCCCCGAGAAGCAGCCATACAGTTTTGGTTGTAAGCGAATTTCTCTTGAGAACGGCTTCTACGAGATCTTCAACCAGTCCAACGTCTCCTTGGTAGATGTCAACGCCACGCCCGTTGTTGAAGTTACAGAACGAGGTATTAAGACAACTGAGAAAGAGTGGGAGTTTGACGTTGTAGTTTCTGCAACGGGTTTCGATGCCATCACTGGTGGTCTGAAGGATATCAACATCCAAGGCGTTTCGGGTGTGAAACTAGCGGATAAGTGGGAATACGGCGCGAAAACGTATCTCGGTATGGCTGTTGCTGGGTTTCCGAATATGTTCTTCACATATGGACCTCAAGCACCGACGGCGTTGTGCAATGGTCCGACATGCGCTGAGTCTCAAGGCGAGTTCATCGTCAAGGTTATGAAGTACATGTCAACCCAAGGGCGCCATAAGATTGATGCGTGTGAAGACGCGGAGGCTGAGTGGGGAGCTAATGTCCAGAACATTGCAAATGCTTCCCTTTTACCCAACACCAAGTCGGTATGTTGAACTCATTTTCGTGGATGAAGTCCAGAATGCTAACTTCTTTTAGTGGTATATGGGAGACAACATCCCAGGCAAGCCACGCGAGTGCTTGATTTACCTTGGTGGCGTTCCGACTTATACCAAGACGCTGAAGGACTGTACTGAGAATGGCTTTCAGGGGTTTCAGCTGAAATAGGACTCAGAAACTCGTTCATGGTCATGAAGATGAGGATATTATAAAGACTAGTGGAGTCGCCCTGGGGAGTATGTATATGACTAGAGTCGAGAATTCCATCCAATCAGGAAGCATCAAGGCGCAGTGGCAGAGTGGTCTAATGCGATAGACTAGAAATCTATTCTCTTCGGAGGCGTCTGTTCGAATCAGGCCTGCGTCGCTCCAGATATTTATCAATTGTCAATTGAGTGCATAATTGAATTTTTGCTGTTATCTTCACCTTACGCAATAATGTTCGCGGACCCTTCGTGAATCCCAATTTGTTTGTGAAGGAATTAGGACAGGTTTAGTAGACGGGCGGATTACTACTTAGAATCATCGTTGGTAAACATCTCGGTGTTCCAACAGTCTCTTTTCAGATCTGAACCAGATGAAGGGAACATACAAGCTCAAGAGTCACCACTCTATGCCCCTCCCATCTTCCCAAGTCCTCTTCTATAGCTAACGTTACCCAGACCCCCTACCACATACGACCAAAGCTCGTAGAGAATACGGGGTCCCGTCCGCTCCCCCATCGTCAAGCTGCGAAGCGCCGGATTAGTAGTTGGGTCGGTG